TGCATTTGGAGATCTGTCTGTTCAGTTGACTGTATGCTGTCAAATCTATTGACGATTGCAGCCTCATCTCCCGTCTAACAGCCATGAGATTAAGAGTGTGATCGGAGAGTTTTCGTGTTCTTCTGCGGCGGGTTTTGCAGAACTTAGCTCCGACCGCATGGACAGTTTCCACGAGCTTGTCATTCATATCGTCCACTGCATTGCAATCCTCTAGGCACTGAAAGCGGTTTTGTAACTCGAGCTGAAAGGTTTCGAGATTCTGGAATAGAGCACGAGGGGGGACGGAGCCTTGACTTCATTAGACCTCTCCAACTTAAAGTTTAGGTTCAGTGTGCCTCTTACCATTCGGTGATGATTGCTGCCAGTTTTCACCCTCGCGATCACTGAGACATCACTAAACGCGTCTGGTCGTCATAATGAAGTCAATCTCATTTTTTGTCGAACCGTCGGGGCTCGACCAGGTCCACTTCCTGTGGGGCCGCTTTTGGAAGAAAGAGTTCATCATAAAGAGTCCCTCTTTCTCCACAAAGTCGGCTAGCTCCTAGCCCCTTCGGTTCCGTTGCCCTACTCCAAATTTCCCTACCTTCAGCTCACCGCTTTCTCTTGTGCCCAGTTTTGCGTTGAAGTCTCCCATCGACACCGTGTAGTGGGTTTTGGAGGAATGCATGGCTCTGGAAATATCCTCATACATTTCCTCCACCTCCTCATCAGGATGTGCCGAGGTTGGTGCATAAACCTGTATGACCTTCAGCGAATACCGTTTGGTTATTCTGAGTATCAGGTACGCGACCCTCGTCGACACACTCCCAATCTTTACAATGTTGTTGACGAGAGACTTGTGGACGATAAATCCAACACCTCCTTGGGACAGATGGTCGCCCTCCCGGTGGTAGAACAAGTTGCCGGACTCGAGGATTGCCGTGTCCCCCCCTCTCTTCGGACCTCGGATAATCCAATAATATGCCAGCGCAACTTGTCTACCTCTTCTTCCAGCTCCAGTATCTTCTCGTCAGTCCTCAGGTTGCGTTATATGTTGCCAGGTCGAGTCGTCGTAGGTGGCAACCGAACCTCCACCGGAGATTCTTAGCACCCCCTGCCCTGCTTTACCACCATGTTCGCCACCGTAGCTAGGAATAGCGGGGTCGCCGGGGACTAGGGGCCGTTTTTTGCGTCGTTATTCATGGGGGGATATTTGCCATAGTTGCCACGCTTGGCGAGCGGGTTGGGAGCCGCAGTTTTTTATTATATCACAGTTGTTATCAGGAGATGCTGCTGCCCATCTCCTGCCTGTCTCCCTCTGTCGCCTCTTACGACACCCACGGGAAGATATGGGGTAGTGGATATTCTCAACCGCCACTACACGGCAATTATACGACTTACTGAGAAGTATAATTACGCCTTTCGACAAATATTTAAGTTTATATACTGGATAATCTTTTTTACCGTCAGTAAAAGAATAGGGTGTAACATTAACATGGTGTGAATAGAGTAGAAGCCTATGGCATGGATATTATACAAAATAAGAAAACAAAAATTTTGAATTAAATAAATAATTAATTGAAATCCAACCTTACTTACTTTACGAACGGTAATAAAAAATATTTAGTGGGCATCTGACCTTGTCGCTTCGCAGAGTCGCAGGCTCAAGAGCCCAGGGCGAAGTAATTGTTCAAATTTTTTTTCAAATGCTTAATTCAACGTTTTTGATTTTATTTTTTGTAAAATATCAGTGCCATAGGCTTCTACTCCGTTCAAATGTCACACCCTATTTTTTCCATATGATAAAAATAATCCTCATCAGGTCATCCAGTACATTACATCATTTATATACATATATGATGTAATATCACAGCCTAAAGGCGGCTACTCACTTGCCTTGGGAATAACCCTCAATTGTGATGTGTGTTTGTAAGCAGGGGCAACATACTAAGTCGGCCCTGCGTCAAGGTTTTATAAGTGGTAGAGGCACGCTGCAGCTATATTATGGTTGTAGCACGAATGGGTCGGTTCGATCGGGGAAGGACCACGCTCTCACAGAATACGACCGTAAAATAGCAGCTTAATACGTGTTTCGTGTGGCGAGTGTAAAGATCCGAAGACCGTTTTTTACTGGAAACGAGGCATTTCATTGTAGTCCTCAGGGGTGACAACGCATCTACGTTTTGATCCTTAATCGAGGATAAATGTAGATTTCTATGGGCCACAGCATCCACTTACTATCAGGTGGACTGTGTGCTCGTTTTTCACCCATATTCTATAAAAAAGACTGCAGTGGCGTAAGACCTTCCTTGCTCCCTAAATCACAGTTGCCGCTGCCGTGTGTTTAGTACAATTGTGTCAATTTCAATCTGTTCGTTGGTGACTTTGGTGCGGAGCACACGTGTGAATACAAGTCACAGTGGATACCAAATAAGAGTGCGAAATTTGGACAAAAGAAGTCAGTGGCTAGGGCTCCGAACTAGGGCAAGCCCAAGATATGGTTTTGTTGTTTTTAGCAGTTTTATAAAAATACACCAATCATGATCTGTCTCTACTCTTCAGTTTCATATTCAGTTCTGTCGAGGACGTGTTTAACAAAGCACACAGAAGGCATACTACTACTAGATAGATTGTATGACATATTAGCAATTGTATACCTTTTTGAAAAAAGCTGTTTGGTTTCGCTTGAGCAAAAGAAAAATATATACATACAATTCAATACATGAACAAAGTACAAAATTAAAAAAAATTATTTATTATCTAAATCGAAACGTCTCTCTTTCTTAAAGAAAGATTTGATTACGTCCGCGTAAAATGTTGGTAAACGCTTTAATTGTACCAATAACTTTTTTTCAATTGGGATAACTCTCAACAAAGTTTAAAGATTTTACCTTTTCTTCGCCGATAAGCACTTTAACACACTTCAATCCATCACAAGGTACACTATTGTTACGAGCTTAGGGTTCTTGACAATAACAACTGCCGATTGAATTAACACTTTATTTACTGAACACCAATTAAAACTTAAATCATACTAATAATTAATCACGCTTAACACTTTAGTTCTTCCACTGAACACATCCAGAATATTCCAGTAAATACGGGCACCGACCGATCAGGCGCAGAAGATTCGAGTGTGGGGCCTTCTAGAAAGCTTAGTTCAGGAGAACTAAGCTTTCTAGAAGGCCCCACACTCACACAGGATCTTCGTTCGTTTAATTCCCAGATGGACTCCTGAACAACCACTATGGTACAGCTGTAGAACATTCGGCACTTTAGCTTTAGGAACAACCATTTGCAAACGACAACTGTCTCCTCGACCATTTTCCCATTTACAGCACAGGACTCCATCCTGAATCAGCAAGCTGTCCCATTGGGCCCAATAGCTTTTAGTGGTCGAACTCATCACTGAGACGTCGCTCCACTTGGGCTTAGTAGCATGGGCCTTCATTCATTCCAGAATCGGCTTGATGTCCGGATCTTCCTGCTGTGCAGGTTGTAAGCTGTCCTTCAACTCGTTGCTGAGGTGGTCTGTCCTGAGCATCCTCACGAATACCACTTCCTTACTCTCTTGCCTAGTACAATGCTTGCAATCTTCAGGACAAGGTCTCCTTGACAATGCATTGCCATTGCGTTGCCATGCGATTTCACGCTGCGGTGTTCAATCACAAAGTCGTATTCCTGCTGCTGGGTGGTGCTGTTAGCCGCACAACCCTCTCAAGATCGATCACCTTCCCTTTTTTACAGATCGCTTAGGGCAGCTGGATCGAAGATTCACCTTTCCCCACAGCCGTAGCACCTTGGGCTGTAATTTTTATTGTGGTCGCGAACCGTAATTGTTGCAACCTCCCTAACGTGAGGGTAACGATGATCCTGCCGCCACCAGGCGGTGCCGTTAGCTGCATACCCTCTCGAGATCGATCAACTTCGCTTTCTACAGTTCGCTTAGGGCAGCTAGATCGAAGATGGCCCCTTACCCCACAGCCATAGCACCTAGGGATGTATCCATTATTGTGGTCGCGAACTGTAGCTGCTGCAAACTCCCTGTCGCGAAGGGAACGAAGAAGGGTAAAGTGTTGCGATTTTGTGAATTAAGTGTCCGCGCGTGTGAAATATTAGAGAAAGTGCTTTGATGTCGATATAAACCTCAAGTTATTTTGGTCGCTAGGGCGCCTTATGAATTTGAGTGGCTGTCGTCATCAACTGTCTGCTGGGTTGAGCTGTCTTCAAAATCTCCCAAGAGCTTCGCAATGTGACGTATCACCATATTGTGAAGAAAAAGAATATAAAAATAAAGATTCCGAAAGAAATGATAGGCTCAGAAGGGCTAGAACCCAGAGCCGTAAAGCCATATAATAAAATAAACGACGCACTGAAAAAATCAGTGGTATGAAGTGGATCGCTTGTTTCACTTTCATGGAGTTTTGGCGGGAACTTGGCCGTAGACGGATTGTCGCTCCTGTTTTGTCGCTTGAATAATGGTTTGAAGTGGATTTTGATTCGTAAAAGTGATGCGATTTTGTGAATTAAGTGTCCGCGCGTGTGAACTATTAGAGAAAACGACGAAACAAGTGCTATGATGTCGATATAAACCTCAAGTTATTTTGATCGCTTGGGCGCCTCATGAACTTGAGTGGTTGTCGTCATCAACTATCCGCTAGGTTGAGCTGTCGTCAAAATCTCCCAAGGGCTACGCAATGTGACGCATCAGCATATTGTGAAGAAAAAAAACATAAAATGAACCCAAAACAAGGATAGGCTCAGAAGGTCTTAAAACCAGAGCCGTAAAGCCAGTTAATAAAGAAGAAAGAAAGGCTTGTTTTATTTAGTTGAAATTCCATTACAATTTATTGCTTACGCTAGTTATGAACTGAAATTAATGGTGGAATAATGTAATCCTCGACATGTTTTAAACTTTTAAAGTTAAAATTGCGTTTATTTGATTTATTTATCAACATATTAGGTAAACCTGTTTAAAGTTTATCTGTAAGTCTTAGTGTTGAGTAAGAATTAGTCGCAAAATGGAAGTTATAGATGAAACACCTGAATTAAATGCATCTATTGATCAAGTAAAAAAACAATGTTGTCATAGAAGAAACTGTAGAGTGCATAGCAGCGGATGTGTGTCACAAAAAGAACAGTGTCGTCGATATTTGTAAAGCTGGACAGGCTAAAGAAGACAATGTTATAACAGAAATGGTAATTACACAAGAAAGCGTCGAATTGATCTAGAAGAAAGTAATGAAGTAACTGTTGAAACAAATGAGACAGAAACGTCCCAGAAAATAGCGGCTGTCCGAGGTCCTGACACAGTAGCTATAAATGAAAACATTTCTAGCCAATCTGATCATAATACGGAAAAAAGAATGGATCAAACAAATGAACTGAATACGGAAATCATAGTCAAAAACTTGGATAAAAAAATCTACTATGAAATTGAAATTCAGTCAACTGAATCTGTTATAGAAGTTTCTAATACAGAAACATCATCAGTTGAAGTTAATAAAGAAGAAACATCGGTATTACAATTAAGTAAAGAAATATTAGCAGTTCAAGTAAATCATACAGATTCATCCAATAAAGATAAAGTCAGGTTTAAGACTGAAATACTAGTTGAAAAAAATGATCATGATATTAATGAAAATGACTTAAATGAGACAAACTCTGATGAATATGCTACTAATAATATTTTGAGTGAATTGGGGCAAAGTATAGAACTAAGTGAAGCCTTAAGATCATCTGATGTCAATGATCATGTGGAAAGTAACAATTGTACTGGGCAGCAAGAAGTCTTTAACTAAGAGGAACTGCTAGATATTTTGCAAGGAAAAGATGTAGAATCTTCTGACAAAGAAGTAGTTGAATATATGGAAATGAATACTGTTATTTCTAAATTTTTAGAAGCAAAGTTAGCTTTACAACAACTCACACAACTGAAAAATAGTAAAAAGAGAATTGAAAAGAAAGTAGAATCTGATAGCATTATTAATGTTTTAGTAAAGGATTGGGATGATGAAGAAACTTCAGAAACAGAGAAGTCTGCTAAATTGCTTAAAGAGACAGACTTCCTTTTGAAGTTCTCTGATGAACTTAAAAAAGTCCAAATAGCAGTAACAGCTTAGGAAGAATTTATAAGAACTTCCATTGATTCTGCGACAAGTGAAGATCACAGCCAAAAAGCTAATAAGAGTGGAGATGAACCACAAAGAAGACTAGGGAGAATCATTGAGAAAAAAAGTAATTTTTGATCCAGATAATCCTGACACATTTACAAAAAGTAAAGCTATAATAAGGAAATAAACACTGAAAAAGAGTCTCCACTATATAAGAAAGGAAAGACTGATTTAACTATAGTGAGATCGAAGTCAAAGTCTCCTATATCTAAGTTGCAATGGAAGAAGTCGTCACCAAAAAATGTAAAGCAAATTAAAAGGTTATCAGAGGTTGATAGGCTTCTGATGGATGAAGGTGCTGTGAATATGATATATCAGCTAACTCCCGAAGCTCCAAAGGGTAAGAAGAATGTAAGAACCAAAGCAGAATTTATTGAAAAGATTCAAAGCTCTACTACTGAAAGAAAAATGGAGAAAAAGAACAAAGAAATGGAGTTCCGGGAACGAAAGAAGGATTCATCTAAATATGAAGATGGAGAGGCAAAAAAGATTTTAAGTGGAAAGCACAGAGCATCTTTAAGCAGTTCTGTAAAGTCTCCATCTGTTTGTGAGGATTTTGAGACTTGTAGTGCAGATGATTCAATTATATATCGACGACATTCATCTAGTTCCTATTCCAGCACTTGTATGAGTCCTAGGCGGCTTAGTGATGTAGATTCAGGTGGCACACAAAACACTGCAAGGACTTCACTAATAGTAGAAAAGGAAAACGAAACTTCAGATGATAATAAAAAACAAACATCAGACACATTTATGGCCGATCCTATAAATATAACTAACAGTGAAATTATTAATAGGGATGATTGCTTATCTATTAAGGAAAAGCTTAACTCAAAATTATCCCTTGCCTTAAATAAACGAAAACGAGAAAACAGCAAAAATGATAAGCCACCAAAGCAAAAGAAGGTCAAAGAATCATTCGCATCAAAAAAAGATGTTGATATAAATTTTAAGTATTTAACAATAAATATTGATCAAAGATTAGCTGAAATCACTATTCAGAAATGACCTAGATATAACATTGAGGTTTGTTTGAATATTATCTTTCACTAGTGTAAGTGAAATAATGTTAGTTTTAGTAAACCTATTATAAGCAAAAATACTCCTGAGAACATAATGTATAAAATAAACAAGGTTATATTATAGAATGTGGAAGGATGTGGGTTTCATGTGATGGGAATATATCAAATTTTGCTCCAAATTAGCCTTACCTACATTAGAGCAGTCTCTGCTTATTAATAAACATAACTATTGGAACCAACTAATGGTGGAAAAATTTTCAGAATTTTAGGGATATTTTAATTTAACGCATTTCTCTTCTGCAAACTTTCTGTCCAGCATTTTGCAAGTAATTAAGCAAATCCGCCAATAAAAGTGTCAATTGACACTTTCAGAAAGGCCTACAACTAATAATAGAAAACAGAGAGGGTCTGGGATTTTTTTTAAATGTTTGAACTAGCATGATTAGTTCAAATCTTAGAGACTGTTCAAAGACATAAATTGTTAGATTTTTAAACTTGTTTAAACCAAGTTTTTTAACATTATCCTGAGCTATCCTCAAACTTTAAAATAAAACTGCAAAGATAACAAAACTCTTATGTGGTAGAACCAAGCTGCAGCTATATTATGGTTCCAGCACTAATGTGTCGCTCGATCGGGGTAGGACCATGCTCTCAAAGAACAGCAGTGTAAAATAGCAGCTTATGGCTGCTGTGTTTCGTATAGTGAGTATAGAGAACTGGAGAGCCTTTTTTGTACACATGTTATAATATTAAATAAGTCAAAAAAAAATTAAATTGTTTATTATTATAAAATGTATTACTACTTGATAATTGGTACATTTCTAAATAATTTGTAATATAGTATTTTATATAATAATAGTTACAAAAATTGTATTTATAGGTTCTTAAGGAATTTGAACAAGCCTAATATATGTTGATGGGAGAAAAGACATATCAGTAACATTGGTTACATCCCAATGTGGACATGTTGTACTCGTCATTATACTTCAGATCACTATTGGAAGATGATGAGAAAAAGAGGGCTACAAATGCATTTGAAATTGCTGATTCAGTAAGGTATATCTATATCAGTTTTTGTAATTATTTTATTACAACTTGGCTTAAACAATTAGGCACATGACAGGAATGCGGTTTCAGTGCTCGCACTCTGCCAATCACCATTCCGATGTTCCCTCTCTAGCTGTCATGGACCTAACAACAAATATTTGGTGTTTTTGGATGACTGATTAGATTTTGGTAAGAAAAAACATGTTGATGTCCTATGAAATGAAAAATAAAGAGTTTGTATTTTTCATGTTGTCATCATGAGTGTGTTTACAACTCAGTGCTTGTCGATGAGAACTTGGTTTAGAAGAATTTCTTGTATCTATAATATTTATACAATAAACAAATGATGTTCCCAATGCCTTGATCCATAGACATTAATCAGGATATAAACTCTGTAATAAATTTGCCATCTGCTTAATTGATTCTACAAGATTTACCTAGTAAGCCAACATCATAGAACTAGATTTTTACACAATGCTGCCAAGCTGCAGCTATACCGTAACGTTGCAGCACAAATGCGTTGGCTCGAATGGGATAGGACCATGGTCTCAAAGAATAGGATTTGTTAATTTTAATTACTTATTTATCTAGCAATTCTTACTTACTTACTTACTTATCTTCACGCACAATCCCTAACGGGTTAGCCAGAGAGAACAGATCGCCAAGTGTCACGATCCTTACATACCTCTTTTGCTTCTTTCAGGTTCATTAACTTCTTCATACATGCACGTCTAGGTATCCGAGTACTCTTGACCTTCCCCTCTTCGAGCAATTTGCTCACATGGTCTTCGAAAGTTAGTCTCGGTCTACCTCGACACCTTTTAATATTTACTTTCGCTCTATATATTTTCTTCACCATTCGGTCTTCACTCATTCGTTCAACGTGCACAAACCATTGGAGTACGCCCCTATCAATTTTTGTGATAAGGTCATCTTTCAATCCTGCCATATTGCGAATCTCTTCGTTTCGCTTTCGGTCGGCTATGGTAACGCCACACATTTTACGAAGAGATCGCATCTCCACTGCATTCAACTTGCTTTTATGCTTCTTCTGGCATACCCAGGTTTCGCTGCCATATAACAAAGTCGGTACCAACACTGCGTTATGTATTGCAAGGCGTGCACTCTTCACCACGCCACCATTGACTTTGTTTCCGGCAGCGACACGCCTATCCACATCTAAATCACATCTTCCATCCCGGCTGAAAGCACTCCCCAAGTATACAATTTCATTTACCTGTTCTAGACATTCCTGATTTACCCATATTTCCCATTTCGTTCTCTCTTCGTCCTTTTCAAATACCAGAACCTTAGTTTTATTAGCATTCAAACGGAGACCTTTAATTTCACATTCCTCTTTCATACACGTGACTAATGCCTGCAGTTCTGCTTCTGATGGTGCAATAAGCACTGCATCATCAGCATACAGCAGGCAATTTACTTTAATGTCACCTAATTTCACACCCAAACAGCTATTTTTCAGCTTCTGTAAACAGCTGTCGAGATACAGTATGAACAGCCAGGAAGACATGACACAACCCTGTTTTATGCCCGCTTGGACGCTAAACATGGGTAACAGGTCATGCCCTCACCCGCACACAGGCTTTACAGTCATAGTAAAGTGACTGCACAACCCTTAACAATCGACCATCCACACCATATCCTGGCAACAGTTCCCACATTTTCTTCCTTATAACCTTATCAAATGCTTTCTCCAGATCCACAAAAGCACAGAAAATCCTCAGGTTAACACTCAGAAGCTTTTCCGTGATCATGCGGAGAGAAAACATTTGATCCGTGCATCCTCTTCCTGGTCTAAATCTGCATTGTGCCTCCCATAAGAATCTTTCAGATTACTCTTGCATCCTACGTGTCAAAACCTTCAAGTAAACTTTACTTGCTAAACTGGTTAAGCAGATCGCCCGATAGCATGCACGGTCAAAATGTGAACCTTTACCTTTATATAAAGGCACAATGACCGCGGATCGCCAATCATCCGGGACATCTCCCGTCCGCCAGCACAAATTGCACAGCAGACGAAAGCTGTCCCAGACGCGAGGCCCACCGTACTTGACCATTTCAGCAGTAACTCTGTCTAGTCCCGCAGCCTTACCACATTTCAAACTTCGAATCGCACGTTCAATCTCTTTCATGCTGATGACCTCAGTGTCATCGAGGTCCGTGTCTGGCGTGCCAGTCACGGCGTCACCCCCGGATCCTTCACTAAGATCATGACATGCATACATTTCTCTATAAAATTCATTCCATCGCTGCATAACGTCCGATTTTTCTGAGAGGACGTCAATGGTTCTCGAAAGCACTTTGTTCATTCTTAAGGCTGTCGCACCACTCCGGGACCCTCCAACCTCTTTCCAGAAGAGTTTGGAGTTTTCCTTAAAGTTGTGCGACAACCTCTCGTCCGCTTCTATTCTACACCTTTCACGTACTTCCTCAATCAATGTTTTCGCATGAACTTTCTGACCACATACAGTTCTTTCGTTTCCCTTAACAAAATCCAGAACTTCTCTTATATTCTCCCAAAACTCCTCCAGCTCAGCCCTGGACGACGAAGCTACCGGCGCATAAACAGCCAAAAGGAATAACTTCGTTCGTTTTCGTTTAGGAATAAATCTAGCAATTCTGCATTCTCTTAACGTATCTCCAACTGCAATTTCCTGGTTTCATAGTTATTTGTATGGGCGCTGGCAACGTATTCGTGTCCAAGATAGACTTTCTTCATGGCTTGATACTGTAGCTGGCATTCCACAAGGTGGTGTCTTATATCCTCTTTTATTCGCTAACCAATTCGTTGACCCATGAGTCAGTCATACCTATATAGACATTTCGGTTGTTAAACTATTGTTTTTTTTTTCGCAGCCAGGCAAATTGTTGATTTAAGTTTTAATTAATTGTATTATTTTTATATCCTCTTAGAGTATACATTAGCAAGCTATGCTTGTGTATACTCTAAGTATGTACTCATAATGCTAAGGGGGTTATTTCCCCTCTTTCAACTATTTACATATCATGGGTGCTATATGCAAATTTATTTTAATTGGTATTTTAGATATGAGATCAACGTTAGTTGCTGTTATTCGAATTGATCCAGCGGAATTACTTGAGGAAGGACTGATGAAAGAATTGGACACTCATATTAGCAAAAAGTTTATTGAATTTTTGGAACCACAGGCGCAAAAACCCGGTAATTTAATTTCTCGTCTCCAAAAACTATCTGAGGGTATGGACGGCTACAAGAGATCATTAGAATATATACAAGATTACATAAACATTCACGGTTTACGAATATGGCAAAAACAGGTTTTTATTATTTATATACTTAATTAATTTTGACATATCCAGGAAATTGCTTAATTAAAATTAATTATTATTAATTGCGTAATAAAAATTAATCATAATAATTTATTTCATATTGTTTTATTATTTTAGGTGTCTGCTATAATTAACGAGAATGTGAATAAAGAAATAAGTTTGAGTAAAGGTATTTCATTGTACGGACCCTCGATTAGATTCATGGGATGACTAGCTCGACAAATTGCGCAATTGATTGATGTCAGGTATTTCATTCATTTTCACATATCACAACTATTGGAAAAGTGCGAAAAGGTGTTATTAGGAAAAAATACTTTTGAATTGATGTATTTATATCTTCAATTCGTGACTTAAAGCTGAGTGTTATTCCTTTTTTAAATATTTTTGATAAGATATAAAAAAATATTTTTCTTAATTTATTCTTTTTGTTATAAGAAAACCCTGCACCGAACGACTGCACTACAGCGCACTTCTATTCCACGTCTCTGGAGGTGTTTCACTATGGAGAAGGGAATTAAAAATCTTCTGAACGAATTTAAGTTTCGATCTTTGGCCCGCTATCTGAAGCTCGCTGTAATTCCATCTTCGTCTCTCTTCTTCGTTGGTCTT